AAAAAAAGGTTATGGAAGCTAAATTTAATTTTGAAAGAAATGATACATAAATGAATGCATCAAAAAATGAATATGAGTAATGCTGTTAACCAAAAAACTAAAAAAAGATCAAGTGTTTCTAAATAATACGGAACAGTCAAAAAAATCTTCATAACACTTCTTGACTTTTATTTTCAATTTAAAGAGTAACTTTGTTATTGTAAAACCAATATTTCTCTACTAAAAGAAACTACTAAAAAATATCAATAAATGTAATTAAAAATACTTTAAAAAAATATTTGAGTAGTATTTAAAATTTGTCTCAAATATTATATTACAAGTATTTAATATATTTTGCATACCTATACCTGTAACTACCTACAACTGTTTAAAAAAATTCTTAAAAAAAATATTTGAGTAGTATTTAAAATTTGTCTCAAATATTATATTACAAGTATTTAATATATTTTGCATACCTATACCTGTAACTACCTACAACTGTTTAAAAAAATTCTTAAAAAAAATATTTGAGTAGTATTTAAATTATAATTCAAATATTTTTTTACAATGCATTTAAGGATTATTTAAATAATTTTAAAAATCAATTCAGACAAATTTTGAATATAATTATTTTTATCAATTATTTAATTATATTAACTCATATATATTATCATTTCCTAATTTTTGATATTCATCAAACTTAGTTTGAGGATTTTAACAACTAAGTTTAAATTATTTACAAAACAGCTGTAAGATATTATTAATAACTTWAGTTATTTAGTTTATTTTAATGTACACAAAAATAACTAATTTCAATTAGAATGATTATTGAAAAAAATAAATACTAATTAACCAACTATCTACCATATTATCTTTATATTTCAATAAAGACTATACAGAAAACATAATGGCTAACCTTGCATACTAAAAATTATTATTTAGACAATTTAAGTTTCAAATATATAGTTAAGTTTATTTAACATTGTTTCATAAATATGAATTAACTGAATGTTGCACCAATGAAAAATATTGACTAAGTTGATTTATATCACAGCTTAAAAAGCATTCTAGGTATTAAAAATAAAAAAGGAACCTACAACATTTGTGTAATATTTACCAATTTTCATAAAAAATTGTAAGATACAAAGTAATAGCATAGTTTTCAAAGTCCAAAATCAATGACAAGTAGATCATAGTTTAATAATAATTAATATCCATTTATTAATTTAAATGTTTTTGTCACAAAATAATATTTAAACATTTTATTATTAGCAAATTGATAATCCTTGATACAATAATTGCTAGTTATAGGTTAATAGTATTACATTTACCTAAAAGTTTTAACAAAAAATAATATAAAAGAATAAGTTCATTAAAAAAATCTTAGCATCAACACTTCTTCTCACTTTRCAACAAGCCTAGAAATCTGTTATCTTATTTATAGAAGTTAAATTTACCATAGAAATTATGTGGTTCACCAATCAATTTATTATTACAGGGGCTATAATTTATTGGCTTTTTCAATATTATACTTTGATTAAATATATACTATATATACTTAATCATGGTAAATAATTATTTTTTCATTGATGCGTCATAAATATCAATATTTTCTATTTACATCATGGATAGCTAATATATCTGATCWGTGTTGTAAAATAAATATTATTGATTTAATAAAGGGTAAACTATTATAGAACAAAGATTCTATTAATATAATTGTAATCCTTAAAATAAAAAGTAAAATAATAGTTTTCCACACAAGAATAGATTAGTATAAGCTATTTACACACATATTGGACAACAAGTATAATAATAAGCTATTAGTTATGCCAGTAACACTTCTTGGAAGACAACTTAAATAATGAWTAAAAAYATTTTTAATTTCTCCAGCATCCCTAAATCTGTTGTTACAGAAACATCTTATAATAAATACCTGCAAACTTAACCAGATTTCTCCAAATAATTAATTGAATTGTATTTATGAAATTATTTCTTAGAATGATAATCATAATATTTCTATAAAACTTAWAATCAAGTTTAAAATGACTTGTTTAAAAAACACTCAGGTTTATTTGATTTCATTATTTCAAACCTATCAAATTATTACCTAATTGCATTTATATAGTTAATGGCACATTATATTTGTAAGGTTGAATAAAAAAAGTATAAGTGCATTTATTAACTTTTAATTTATAATAGGTATCATATTTGTGGCAACTGAATTAAATAAACAATGAGTATTAAAATATATAAATACTATTATGATTAATATTGAGATAATGTAGAAAAAAATGCCATTTTAATAAATCACAATAATAATAAAAAAATGTATAATTATGTGCAAACAATAGATAAATGTATTCAATATTTTTAGGTTAATAGTTACTTTTTATATTTCATTAATTAATGTGTTTATGTTATGAGTGTAACATAACAAAATAAAATGAATGGATTTATTAACTTTTAAAACAACTAGGTTTTAGTATAAAATTATTGATTAATTTTAAAGAATAATAAAATTTAATCATAAATGCGCATTCAAATTTTTTTAAATTCTTTAAATTATATTTATAAGCCTAATGAAAGTAATTTATTCAATGGTGTATTTATTTTTTGAKCCTCAACCACATATCACGTACATGTTTATCAATTAATTTATTGTAATATATTTTTCTAGTATCCTTTTTATTAATTTTTAATTGCAGATTTTAAAAATATAATGAACATCATTTATTGTTCTTATGGTATAATTTATTTTGAATAAAAAGTTACTGTTTATAAAATGTATTTAACAAAACAAAAAAATATTATTGAAGTTATCCAATTGCATAATTAAGCAACATTGACAATTTTTCTAAAAAGCATTTGATTTATAGCAAAAAAATATGATATTATAATTCTAACAAATGCCAAAATAATGAATTTAGATGTTATTTTTTAATTTCATTTCACAAATTTATAATAATAATAACTTAAATTTTAGCTTTAATAATATAAGTATAGGAGAATAAATAAGCTTCAAAACATTACATTATATTGAATTATAATACCTCCATCAAGAATTTCTAAGTAATTCTGTAAGTTTTAAATTTTAATTAAGTACATCTTTGTCTTTGATATATTAAGTTAGTATTTTTTTTTTTAATTAGGAAGCATATGAAATGTTTAAAAAATTTAAATATTCTATTTAAGAGTTGAAGTAAAATTGAAATCATTTATAAATTATATAATTATAATAGTATTAAGATCCAATTCCATAAAATAAACTTATCATTTCTTAGAGAGTTATCCCAAAAGGGAGATATAAAAAATAAATATATAAACCTATTCTATTATATCTATATTGTATGGTCTTACTTTATTGAAAATATATTTAATTAATTGGGATATTATTTAAGCTTAAGTAGGTTTAAACATACCTTTAAAGAATTTATTAAATTTATTATTATGAACAATAAAACTTAATCACTAATTCATTTTATAAATATCATMACTAAGAATATTTGATTTAACGTTCAAAATTAAGTCAKCAAAATAGGCATAGTGAATATAATAATTATATGTTCCACTTTCATTTTTATCATGCAATAACATACTTACAATTAAAAAATAAGAAATAGAATGCCATGTTATTAAAACCAAATTGATTGGATGGTTATTAAAATACAGAATGCACAATATTAAAAAAAAAAAATTAAAAACATAATTTCTGTAAAAATATGAAATTTGTTTTGAACTATATTTAAAAAACAAGTTAATAAATAGTTTTTTAAATGTTTGATTGAATAATAAAATTATAATTTACTATCAATTATATCATTTAAGAAATAATTGTATTTATTATAATAAGAATAGCTATTAATATTAATGATAATATGATGTAATAATTCTAACATTAAATTTTTTTAAATTTAGTGTATTATACAATAATTATAGGTTAAATTAATTAAATGAATACTAATAAATTTAAAAAAATATAGTTATTTCAACAATTAAAAACTTAATCACAAAAAGTCTAAATTTTTTTATTAAGCCAAATAAATTGAAAAAAAACTTATAACAATTGCTTGTACATATTTATACCAATTCAGTAAAGAACACATTTTAATTTTGAATACTGATAATATATGTTAGGTATACAAATATTTAATGAATATAAGTACTTAACATCTTTGATTCCAACCTACTATTATATTTAATTAAAGACATTTTGAGGATGTAATGCAGTTACATTAAAAAAACAAAAATAACAGAAAAAATTGATTATTTTCACACAATTTACATAGGCTATCAGTTTGCACTTTTTTATAGAAGTTTGTCAAATTATATGAAGATATAATCTTGTTAAAATTTACAAATGCGGTCAATTAWAATGTCCATTTTAACAACAGATATGGGTAGCTTACCAGCCTTTTTCGGTTTTAGTAGTTTGTTTCTTCTTCGATGTCACGCCAATCACGAAATAACAATTAATTGTTAATGTAACAAACACAAAATTAAGAAAAACCCTCTATTAAAATGATAAATTGAGCGATAAGAAGTATGCGGGGATAAGTAATTAATGACTAGTGACTACTCTATACTCAAAACTCGATTCACACCACAGTAAATATTAGAAAAACAAAAAAAATAATAGAACATGGTTATCATAAAAAAAAAAACAAATTGAAAATAGATATCAATAAGGTCATTAAACTGTAAAACGCAAAACGCTAGTGTACCGTGTTAATAACATTTATTCGGTATAATATACTTCTCCGCAATTTCCATATTATCTACTATCATATTTGCAAGTGCAATTTGATTCTGATAACTGCAGACTGATTCATACAATCATAATAATATGTCAACTACGGGATTAAGTGATTTTTTTTTCAAAATTTTTTTCTTAGTTTTAATATTCACTCAAATTTATTGATGAAACGTGTTTTAGAACGACATTTTTTGGATTTATCACATTTTTTTCAAAATTTTTTTCTTATAGAAAAACGAAAAAAAGATGTAGATTTATCAGAATGTKTAATAAAATAATAAAATGATTATCAAGACGAATAGGAATATTGTTGAACGTCATACGAAAAAAAAACTTTTTGTATCTGCAATCCTCATTCCCCGGAACATCGGCTAGCGCACCACCCAGTCCATAGAACCAACGGCGGTAATGTAAGTAGTGGGAAAAACTTGGACGTATGCGACCTGTCCCGATGTCAACTGTGTCTGCCGTCTATTTCATACACTGCGTACTATTGATAATGACTAGTGGAGTAGATAGCATAATATATTATATTATACATAATAATATATTTATAATATAATATATAATATATGTTATTATAATATTATAGATGATTATCTATGATTATATATAGTATATTAGTTTATGGGTATTATAATATAATAATTTCAAAACTCATAATATTATATTATTATTTTATATAAGGAATATTATATTTAAATTGTAAATTTGTCATTATGAGTAACAACTTATGAATGCTATAATGCTAATTCTTATGACAATATTAATAAATGACAACTCACGGATATTGTTATGAAATATAATTACCTACCAAATATTAATTAATAAACGATTATCTATATATTATATATTACATACATTATACATAATACATACAGACATACAGTTTAAYCGTAGGTAACGTACAGACTGGCGGAGACTTATTATTCCTAATTAGTAATTACATAGGTAATAATATTATAGTACCTACTCCTAATGTCGTACATTATATAACCAACGCTACACACTATACACACACTATAGGCGTAGACCACAGGTCACAGACATTTTTAGTTGAGTGGGGGAAGTGGCGTAACTTGAATCTGTTTTTGGGGAGGGGGCAAAATATGAAAATACTTTTTTACCTATTTACTAAAAGTATAAGTAGTAGGAGTGGAGTTGACGCCCACCTACCCCTCAATTCATTTTAATAAAAATAAACCTATACATGTTAACACCAAATGTAATGTGGTCCTTGAAGTTTTGAAGAATTAAAAAAAAAGTGAAAATACAATAGGAATTATTACATGTGAGCTGYATAGCTATCCCTATCATTATAATGTGAATAATCYGAAGTGAATCTATAATGAAAGGTGGACATTAATTAGATAGTTGGAACATTTTTACTCTTATTAATTAGTTAATTTTCAAATAAACTTAATAATTAGATCAATAACTGTTTATAGTAATTAGTAAAAAAAACTTTTTACTAATTTTTTAATTTTAACTATTACATTTATTTGAATAACAGATTATTATTAAAAATATTTCTAGGTAACCTATTACATGTTAAATTAAAAACATCTTTAGATATAGAAATCGTTAATAGTATATGGTTAAAAATTATAAGTTAATAAAGTTAAGTGAATATTTTTTTGTAGAAATGATTTCAAAATTAAAAAATAGGAAAAATATAATACTTATTTCAATAATTTAGTATGCACAATCAGTGGCGTCAATTGTGGGTGTCAAGTTGGGTATTCACCCCTATCTGCTTGTAAAATAGTCTAATTATATAAGAGACCGACGGTTATAGTGAAATGACATAACTATAATTTTTCCAATTTTGAGGACTAGAAAACTATTTTCACGGTGAAAATGTATATCTATAATTTTTTAGTTCAAATATATAGACGATGATAATACATAGAAATTCTAAAAACTATAGATCATTCCTAAATTTATCTGATTTCGAAAAAAACACATGGTGATTTAATTTGTTCGATCCCTCTAAAAAAATATAAAATTACGCCTCTGAGGTAGGTTTTATAGTTATTAAAACTATTTAGCTTTTCACGTGTTGTTCACCAGACACATTAAGTTATCTACAGTTGCGGTATAACGGGAGGGGGGGCGGCGATGAGTGGATCGCCCCCCTTGGTTAAATATAAAATATAAAATTATTACATGAAATAAATTTTTTATGACTTCTATTTTTTAGTACCTACTTATTGTATTTATTGTGAAAAATATTTCGCCCCCCCCCCCTGGAATTGGTCAAGGACCGCCACTGGTTATCTAAGATGTGAATTCCACATAGAAAAAGTGTAAGTGGATATACGAGTAGAATAGTTGTTAGCTTGTGTGTGAAGCAATCTAGTTTTTTTCTTTTTAGCTTTAACCGAGGCTTTAACTTACATGAGGTTATAGAGATTGTAGAATCGTTTGCCACCTACTATTAAAAATTAAAATGACGCTCCTGAGTCCTGGGCACAATATTATAATTGATTTATTTTAAAATAAAATGTGTTAGAAAAGCTCATTCTGCAAACGTGATAAATTCCAGATTTCCAAACATATTTTAATAGGTACAATGCAATAAACTATAATTACAATTACAATTAAGAAACAGAATTTGGTGTTCTTTAATAATACTCGGG